TGAACATTTCAGTTTGACAAACTTTTATTTGCAATTATGCTGTCTTGAAGACACTATAATAAGCAATCCGTATTATTCGGGCCCTCTCCCATTCATTATTTGAGATGGATAGAGTGATAAATTCGTCATCTAAAATATTGGTTCATGTAAAATTGTGAATTGGTCTCAAATCAAAATTCTGAACTGTAATAGAAATTTGCTTCTCCTTTTCTGATATGGCAATATATACATTAATTTTAATTTAAAAAACATTTTGAAATGATATAGGGTACAGATTTGACCAACTATAGGCGATGGTAAGTTCTGTCTTAGAGAAAAGTTGCAGCCTTTCAGCATCCCAAATGCTGCCAGGGTAGGGGAAGTTGGACTTATTATCAAGTGTGTTTGCACAGCCAGTATCAGTGACTGATGACAAAAGAGGCTTTGAAGTTTCTATGCAAGGATAGAAAAAAATGCTTGGGAGAAGAAAACATTGATGGGGCGGAAATATGCAGCGAACCTTGAGATCCTCCCTACCTGTATATCAAATGGTGATTTTATTCTCACAAAGAAGTTAGAAAACTGTTCTGCTGATTCAGTTATGTCCGGAGAATAGTTTAGTTTGCAATCTTTATTAATTTATAGAATATATACATATGATGTAACAAAATAAATTTTATAGTTTTAGAAATACCCTGGGGTTTTTGAGGGGGACTTGGATTTTTTGTTTATTTTGTTTTGCTTTTAAGATAATTAAGATTCTTTGCAGTGCCGATACCTCATTGATCTCAATTTAGCTTGTTTGGTGTTATATTTTTTACTTTATAAACTTGCAGATGGAGGCAGGGTGAAATTGGAACACTGTCTAAGCATGATAAATCAGTGACAGAGCCTCCTGGCTTTATTTCTGAACCTCAGACCACTAGACTATGTTTTCCATATGTATTTGATCTTACCAAGTTAATTTCTGCTGAGAAGAAAAGTTATCTAGTATTCAAGTTGGAAAGGTAATTTCCCAATTTATTGTATCCCATTGAGAATTAGATACATTCCAGACTTACAGCATTCAATTTTGATTATTTTGAAGTTAAAGCTAAATTGTAAAATATGCCTAGTCTCACAATTGAAAGTCAGGTGGACTGATTACTTTTTTTAGACTTACTCTAAAACAGTCTTTAGGTAGCAGTTTATCAGTGCAATTTCCATTTCAAGACATCTGAATCTGAGGTAAATACATTCTTAAATTTAGCATGGATAGGTGTCCTTTCAGGCTAAAACGTGTGCTTAGTACTGAAATGTGTTATTTCCTTTTTCAATTCCAGAAATGTGTTGTATTTTTCATTCTTTTTGCTCTGTTAAATATTATGGTATTTTTAACAAAACTTCAAAATGTAGTAAGTGGTTAGTGTCAAAAGCCTCAAAGATACCAGCTCATCATTGGAAGCACCCTCCCCAGATTCTGGAATTATAAACTAATGAGTCTTTAAAAGTTATATACTAGTTGAGCTCTTTTGTCTTGAAGTTATAAAGGAAAGTTTCTTTGAAGATAACACAGGACTACACACTTGTAATATTATCTGAACATTAATCATTACTAAGCATTTTATTTTTCCTCTCTATTGTTTAGATTACACAGTAGCTAACTATTAATATATTTCATCTGTATTTCCTCTCTTTTAACATTTTACCTCAGGCTGATACCAAGTAAGGAATGTTTTAGACCAAAAGGAAAATTTCTGTGGGAGTGATCAGGTTTTATAAGGTGAAAGAACATCTTGAACTCATAGAATGCAGAAATGTGTTTCCTCCCTTAGTTAGCTGACAGTTCGGGTGTTTTGGCTTGTGGAGTGGCCCTTAGAAATACCATGGATAATGGATCTGAGGAAATAGCATATGTGGTTTTAGTTATCACTTATACATGAGTGACTTCCAAATCTATCTCAGCAACCTTGATCTCTCATTCTCTTTTTCTGGCCTCTATTTCTTGCAATTCGAATAACATCTCTTCTTGGAAATGTTGGAAATACCTAAATGAGCTGATAGTTTGAGGGCAATAGTAATCTCTCTCAATAATTTAGTCTAATTTACAGTTTAAGACAGATATTAACAAGATTATCCTATTACCCAGTATATCCTGATTTATTCCTGCTTCTTTTGGTAAATAAATGACAGGCGAGTTGTATTTTCAGCAAATGAGTATTTTTTTTTGTGGATAGCCATTGGGTAAACTTGAGCAATTTATGTTTTCTTGACTGACTAAAAGATTATAGATTCTCTCTTGAGATGTTACTCTATTAGTGGTAAATACTTTATCTTTGCCCCTTGTACCCATTGTGTGATGTTATTTTATATATGTATTTTAACACATATTTATTGAACATGCACATTACAGACACTGATAGGTATAGGGAGTCATATTTGAATAAGGTAGTACATACTCAAGGTACAGTGGGAATGGCAAACCTATATAGAAATAATTACTATAAAATCAAGAAACTCTACAACTGTGTACTGTCAGAAATCAAGAAAGGGAGTTCAGTTCTACCACAAGGGAGAGCCATTGAATGAGTAGCCATTAAGAGTCTTTACAAAAAAAGTAATTTAAATGACAAACTACATCTGTCAGAATAAAAAAGGATGTCAAAAAGGGGCTGATTGGCTGGGGTAATAGAGGAGCCCTAGAGAACAGGGACGTGAAGGTCTTGATGAGCTTAAAGAGTAGGTTCTCAGAAATGAGAAACAGAGAAGTATAGGAGATTGTAGTTAAAAATCTGGATGTTTTAAGTAAATACAGGTTGAGCAGTGTCTCGTTTTAACAAACTATCTGTATTTGGGAATACGGGCTGGGGTTAGATGAAAACCTGTGACTGTGAACATGTGAAGTCCTTCAATCTGCACAAGTACTAAATCCATGATCTTGGCCTCAGTATATTTTAACCAACAGCTACAGGTGATTTATGAATGATTTAATCACTGCCATTAAATTTCCTTTGAAATACATCTGGAAAGGGATAAACAAAATGTACCTGGAATTACACTAACTGAATAGATTTGAAAATGTATTAAGCCATGTTCAAAATCCAAATACAACTGAGTTGACTTATACCTAGAAACTATTAAATGTCCGTTTTTGGTGATGGTGGTGGTGGTGATAATGGTTTTCTCTTTTAGGTTTTAAGCTTACCCTCCCAAGATTTATGATTTTTATGAGTCTGTTTTGGTTTTATCAATGTTATAAATGAATTTTTATGTTTTATTTTTCTTTGAAGACAAAGGAAAAGGGTGAATAATTTCGTATCTGCTAAGTTAATTGCTTATATATTAACTTGTATACATTTTATATATTACAAAATTATCAGTTTGTAAACCTAACTTTCCAAGTATACTGTAGGCTTGTTGATAGTGCACATCAATTCTTCTTCTTGGTATCTGTGGGGCCCACAGATTCAGTAACAAATAACCACTCAATTGATATGTTTGAATATAAATAAAAATGTCTTCAAATGTCATTTTGCTTTATTAGAAGTTATCAATTATATTATTTTAAAAACTACCTTTTCATCTTATTTATATATTTATCATAACCAAAGGTTCTTATGTTCATTTGTTCGGGAAAATGATGAAAAAGTAAATGTTAGCCACCCAGGCCCTGAAGTAACAATAGTTCCTGGAAATGTCAAAAGGAATAGAATATTTTTTTATTTGAATTATAATTTTGCATTTTCTAGGTTACTGATGTGTTTGTCTATTTAACAAGTTCTCACCTGGGATTTGTGTAGGATAAAGTCCTGTTGGCCCCTGTCAGTATCTTTTTTATTTAATGGTGTGAATCCCAGTCTCTTAATCCGAAATCTTCTCTTAGTGTCTATGTTCAATTAAACTATAACATGTTAATTATTACTAGACATATGTTAGTTTTACTTTACTGTTGCATTAGGTACTTAAAAAATTTCTGGATCCATAACTTAAAAACCAAGTAAATATACAAAATTCTGCAAATACTGATTCGTTCTCATTATAGAAAATACTTTTTTTTGTTCTTTATACCTTATATTTCAAAACGGATTAAAAAATTGAATCATAAGAATATGAAAGGGTAGAAAAGCAAATCAGATTGTAATTAACATGTATTCTCAAGTAATGGCTAAGAAAGGGTATGTCATTTATATGTTTGAATTTTTTAAAAGTTATTTTGGTATGTATGTTCAGCTCATTTTGAACATGAATGTGCTTTTTGACATGCATGTCTAATATCTAATATATCACAATTAGCAAAAGCACAGCATAGAAAGTAGAAAATGTAGTCTGTGTGTTCAGTAGTTTCAGAACCTGTTCAATGGGAAAATTACTTTAAAGATTTGGTTTTAATTTCACGAGAAAGACATCTATATTGAAGTAGTGTGCAGCTGAGGTCCTCTAGTGTCACAGCTGAATATGGCATCAGTTTTTAAGATTCTGTGAATTGTATGAGAGACAAGAACAAGAGAAGCTACTCTAAAATTGACTTGTAGAGCCAAATGAGTTCATAAAACTAGGTTTATATTTTGTTAATCCCATGGAAAGTTTTTCTTTGTTTTTAAGGGAAAGACTTTGTTTTATTTCATGTGCACATATTTATCAATGTAATTGTGCTTTTATATAAAATCCTTACCTCTTTAACTATTGGTAAGTTGCAAATAATTTTTCTTAAGTTTGGGATATTGCCATTTGTACAGTTTATTTTTTGAAGATGTTTATGAAAACTCTGTTTACCCCAAATTATGCTTGTTTTGCACATTCCCTATTTGTTTGAGACTCAGTGATATGGCAGTTTAATATGGGAGAAATTTATTTGATAAAAAGGAATAATTTACAGTCGATTTAAATAGAATTCTTTATAAATAGTAACTTTCATTGCTTCTTTTTTACACATATCATGGGGAATATCAACTTACTCCTTTACTTCAAAATATGACTGACAGCCAGGGATTGGATTACCAGATATTTGAGGCAAAAAAAATAGTTTTTTTTTTTTTTTTTAGAAAACCAGAGCCTGGAGAAGGGGTGGAGAAGAAGTACTCACTACAGAGTAAATGAAGATATCACTCTTTTTTCCAGTATTAAAAGAGTTCTAACTATTCTCAGAGATACTCAAAGGAGTGATGTATCCATAACCAAAGAACAGTATCGACAAGGAGCAACTAGAGGACATAACAGAAATCCTAGAAATTAATGGATTTCTCTCTCTCTCTCTCTCTCTCTGGATCTCTGGATATCTCTCTCCTGGAATTAAGTTATAATAGATAAGACTAAAGACTGTGCTCTTAAAACAAAAAGTTAATACAACAGGATGATTATAGTCAATAATTTAATTGTACATCTTAAAATAACTGAAAGTAGAATTGAATTTTTTATAACACAAAGGATAAATACTTGAGGGGCACCCCATTTTACATGGTGTGATTATTACACATTTCATGCCTATATCAAAACTCATGTACCCCATAAATATATATACCTACTATGTACTCACAAAAATCAAATAAAAAAAAAATAATTCCAGTTCTCATCTACCTAAGAGTTCCAACTTAGTGAAAGAAAGAGAGAAAATAGTGAAAGACATAACAAATCAAATTTTCCTTGTTAATGTTTCTGTGTAAATGGAACACGAGTCTTCAGATTAAAAGGGCATGCATGCTTAATGCTGACTGGCACAAATGTGCTCACACTAGACATACTGGGCTGAAATTTTATAACTGTAGGGATAAAGTAAAAATAATTCTCAAAGCTTCCCAGGAAGGAGTAACAGATGTCTACAACAAAGTTGGAATCAGAGTTATACTAGCCTTCTTGCTATTAATAAAGAATGCTGTAAGACAGTGGAGTAATTCTTGCCAAGTTTAAAGGCAGGAATAAGATATTTTTAGATGAGCCATGCATGAAAATGTCCTACTCGTGCTCCCTGTATGAAACAATTTCTAAAGATATAGATAAACAAAAATAAATAAAAATATTATGAGATGTAAAAATTACAGTAGCTGATGATAATCTTCACAAGTAGAGTTCTAAAATTATGGTGTCCATTCAATCTTGATGACTAAGACATTTTCTCTTGGGAACAAGGGTTTAAGTGGCCTAGGTTTGTATTTCCTTCTCTGCTTAGTTCTACAGTAAATATTTGTTAATCATTATTATCATATGGCAGTGTGCCAGTCACTTCCCATCTTTCTCAGAGTAAAAGCCAAAGGCCTTACAGTGGCCTAAAGGGCCTTGCATCATCTGACCTGTAGCAACCTCTCTGAGCTTATCTCCTGTCACTTTATTCTTTGCTCATTCTCCTGTATGCACTGAATATATTTTTGTGAGCTGCTGACATTATACTAGTTCAGGGCTTGATTGCTGTGTCCTCTGTCCGAATCATACATTTTCCGGAGACCTACCTGACTTTATGACTTCTTGTAGATTTCTACGTAATGATCAGCTTCTCAGTGAGGACTTCCCTGAGCACATTGTATATCTTGTCTACTTTATTTTTTTCTTCATTTAATCGCTACACTTCAAATTATCTATTTAGTTATTTGTTTCACCTTCCAGAAAGGAGTGTAGGTTTCCTTTATCCCACATATCATTTGATAATGTAAAAACAATATAACTAATACAGATAAGGAGTTGGGGAAGAAAAATGGGGAAGTTGTGTATGTCAACCGTATCCTCTTGCAAAGAGTTAGTTATATTAAGTAAAAGTCTAACCACCAGAAGAATTGAAAACAACAATTGCTGATGATTATTTGATAATGTAAAACAATGTAACTAATAAAAAGGAGTTGAGGAAGAAAAATAGTAAAGTTGTGAAAATACGTCAACTATATCCTCTTGCATAGTGAAGAGTTAGTTATGCTAAGTAAGTAAAAGTCTAATCACCAGAAGAATTGAAAACAAAAATTGCTGATTCCCATTGGAAAGTCAAACTAGGATAAGAGATGCAGATTTTAGCTTTTATCTATCCCTGGTTATTTCTTTTGGTTTTAATTTAAGAGAGAGAATCAGGTTGCAATTATTTTTATAAAAATTTTATTCAATTAACTGTTTTTTTTTAAGTCAGGTTTATTAAGGTATAATTTACATCATACCTTAAAATTTATCCTGTTTAATGTAAAGTTCAAAGAGTTTGATAAACAAAGGTATGTACGCACCATCAAAATCAAGAATAGAACAGTTCCCTCACACCACAACATTTTCCCATACTCTTTTGTAGTCCACCCACCCCCCCACTCAAGCCCAGGGCAATCTGTTAGTCCATTTTTTACGTTTTAACCTATGTCTTTTATTTAGTGTGGGTTTCTCATAGACTGAGTATAACTGAGTTTAAATTCTTATCAAATCTAACAATCTTTATGTTTTAATTTGTGAGTTGAGACCATTTATACTTAATATAACTATTGCTAAATAGAAAATCTATTAGTCATTTTCTATTTGTTCTGTCCTTTTTTCTTTTTTACTTTTATTGTGCCTGTTTGTGGATTGAATTTTTTTTATGATTCCATTTTATCTCTAGTATTGGTTTTAAAAATTACGTTTAGTATCTATCTACAAACACAAATTTGATTTTAGAAAAATTAAAAAAAATGGATAGATAGGAAAATATATACCAAAATGTTAGTATCATAGATATGGGGAAATTTCCTAGGTGATTGATTAAAAAATTATAGGATAATTAATAAAGCTAGTTTAATTGTATGTCAATATTACATTTGTCTTAAATTTTATTCTGAGATTTAAACTTTTCAAAAAAAAAATGCTGACAGGAAAGAATTTTAATGCAGACACCAATGTCTGCAAATAAACAATCCCTACTTTATAAAGAGTTAATGATAAAATTAAAACATGCTCCAAATTTTACTTACCCCTGCTAAGTAGCAATACTTACCCAAATATAGTACCTGTTTCCAGGTAATTTACTTGAATAGACTTGCAAATTAGAAAAAAAAATTAGAGAGATGGATGGTGAGAGAGAGGAGGGAAAAGGGGAAGGAAACTGGAGGATATCTGTGTGAAGGATGACTTGTAGAAGATAGGATAAGAATTAAAGGGAAATGTTTGCTTAATCATAAATGACCAGAAGTTGCTTTATAAGTTGAGTATGGAAAATAAGCTAGTGTCTGTATACCATAAAATACATTGTTATACTATTTTCAGTGGCTTAGGCATTTTGTATGGAGCAGAATAGTTTTTAGTGACTTAGTTCTGCCATAAGTAAGTCTGAAACTTAACTGATAATTTGGCAAAGCCAAACCTGCTATAGGTTCGTTGCACTTACCACGAAAATTAAAGTCCTTTCCTGGAAGGACCAAATACTGCAATTACAGTAATCTTTAGGAAACTATAGGCTCTTTGTCAGATCAATTCCATTATAATCAGAAAATCTAAAATACGTAGAGGTAGATATTTTGGAAAATATACAGATTTTATTTTCTCAGAATAAAAGAGGAGCAATAAAAACATAACTTTTTGTATGTTTATGCTAGGTCACATTTCACTTGTTAAATCAAGTCCTTTATTTGCATTGTAATTGACCTTTGACTTTTTGTTTTCTTTGTAGCTGTTCAACAGTTTTGTGCATAGCATTTGAGGTTCTTCAGGGCTTGCAGTATATGAACAAACATGGTATAGTACACAGGGCATTGTCTCCTCATAATATCCTGTTGGACCGAAAGGTAATTGTTAAATCATGTAATAAATATTTATATATTGTTTGGAATTGGAAGCAACTGGAATCAGGGCTACTCAATCAGAGGAACAATAGAAGCAGAATATGTTTTAAGAATATTCACAATGAAAAGATAATATGAGAGTGATATAATTGTGGTTTTTGAAAAAAGAATCTTTAAATTATTTAATCTGTATATCTTTCACATGGATTATTTTTTTCCCACTAGACTCATTTTCTGTCTTTATGGTTTTCTAAATTTTATTCTTTTTTCTAAAGCCTTGTGGCTTCCTAACATACTTCTCTGAATTTATTTTCATTTTTAAGAAAATGGCTCTTTTTGCTAGAATGTTGTTTATATAAACCAACTGCATTGTGTTTTCTCTATTTTTCTTCTTCCTCCTTTCCTCTTCTATTTATCTCCTTATATACGAGCTGTTCATTTTACCTCCTTTTACTATTGAAGTACTGCTTCTCTACTGGAAATCTTATGTGGCATTAAGAAGCTAGTAAACCTTGTTAAGAGAATTATGGATAGCAAGGATGTATATTTTCTAGAATAATTGTAATTTTATTTCTCTTCACAAAATATATAAAAACAACTTAAAAGAATTTTTTTCATGGGCATTATTTGCTGTATTAGTAGGATTATTCTTGTTTTCTGGTTCTTTTCCCAAATCAATACTTGGGTGGCCGAGATGACAGCATTGCTGAGCCCAGGAGTTTGAGGCTACAGTGAGCTATGATCATACCACTGCATTCCAGCCTGGATGACAGAGTGACACCCTGTCTCTACAAAACAAATACACAAACAGCGAAAGTGAAAATTACACTCATTAATTTCAAGTTTGTGGCAGTAAAGAATCATTGCCATATCAATCCAAACTGTTTTTAAATATAAATATTTTATAATACTTGGAAATAATGTTCTTGAGAAGACACACCAATTTTAAGATCAACTTAATATTTTCAAAGCCTTATAGATTAAAAGGGAAAAAACTTAAAAGACATAAAGTTATATTTGTCATTTATTAAGAACCTCATACTTAAGATAGTTATTTTTGTTCACAAACAATATAGCAGATTCACCAAAATCTTGATGATTTTTGAACTGATCTTTTCAAGTTAAATTTTCCTATTTCACAGTTAAATTATAACTACAAATGGACTTGCAACCCTGGGAAAAAATTTCCTCTGTGAAAATTATCACAAAACATTTTTACCAGGGTTTTAAGACAGATGAAAACATTTTTGCCTTTTTGTTTTGTGAAATAACTAGACAGTGTAACAGCAAAAATATTAAAGAAAAAGGTCGCTTGTCATTTTGAGATATATGTGTACATATGCCTATGTGCATATTTAATGAGTAAAGCAGACTAAAAATTGGCAGATAGTTTTTTATAAAATTGTATTTAAAAAAATCTTTTATAGTGGTATTTTGATAAAATATTGCTTTATAATGGTTTCTTTAGTTATAAAATGTATAATGATAATTTTCCTTGCCAATTATACTAAAATATTTGATAGTGTTTCTTCTCTTTATTATTGTAGGGACATATTAAATTGGCTAAATTTGGACTTTATCACATGACAGCTCATGGTGATGATGTTGATTTCCCAATAGGGTAAGAGTGTTTTCCTCTATTTTGAGTTTCTTTTTAAATTTTGTAATCTTTGATAACATGCATATTTTGTTAATTATATTTGATGTTCCTTTTTGACATGAAAATAGCTTTTTAAAAATTAGTGCCTCTTTTTTCCATATACTTTTGAATGAGTAGACAATGAGTTTTTCCCAGCATATGTAGATCCTTGATGTTGATCATTCATTGAACTGGCAGAGAATCTAACAGTGTTAACCTTCCTTACATTATAAATTTCCTAATTACCTGTATTTCATTCAGAATCAAATCAACTTAAGGCAAGAAGGACGACTAGATTCTCAATTAATGATAATGTGTGTGTATGAAGAGACTGAAAAACATTTCTCTCACATTACTTTCAATTTAGTGTTTCATGTTTAATTCCCTTTTCTCTAAAATATAATTATATATTAAGACTCAGGTTGAGTCACTGTGGATATTAGAGATAAATTCCATACCTGAAAATCTATGTTTAAGTTCAAAAAGTTTTATTTATTTATTTATTTATTTTAGGGGGGAAAGGAGGAAGGGAGGAAGGCAGGAAGGGAGGGAAGGAGGAAGGGAGGGAGGGAGGAAGGAAGGGATGAAGGAAGGAAGGGAGGAAGGGGGGAGGGAGGGAGGGAGGGAGGGGAAGGAAAGGAAGGAATTCAAGCAATGAGAGAGACATTGCCGACCTGGATCTAGAGGTTTACAAGTTGATTTCTTTTTTTGAGAGAAGGAAAGAAAAAAAAATGAGTAAAGGAGAGAAAGAAAGAGGAAGAGAGAGAGGGAGGGTGAACGGAAATATTGCTTTATTCTGAAAAAAAATGGGTATTAATAATGGCCAATCAATGTTTCATTTAAACCTATGAGTAGGTGTGATGTGGTATTGACAAGAATGTATATTTTATGTATTTGAAGTGGAGAGCTCTATAAATATTTATTAAGTTTACTTGTTCTGGATCTGAGTTCGAGTCCTTGATATCCTTATTAATTTTCTGTCTCATTGAATCTAAGTCTCTATGTATCTGGGTGTTAGGATCGTTAGCTCTTGTTGTTGTATTGATCCTTTTACCACTATATCTTTGTTGCTTTAAAATGTATTTTATCCGCTACGAGAATTGCAACTCCTGCTTTTTATTTACTTATTTATTTATTTTTGCTTTCCATTTGGTTGGTAAATCTTTCTCCATTCCTTTGTTTTGAGTCTTTGTGTATCCTTGCATGTGAAACAGGTCTGGATGTAACATGCCATTGGGTTTCGGCTGTGTCTTTTCATTGGGGGATTTAGTCTATTTAAATTTAGGGTTGTTGCCATTTGATGTTAACTGGCTGTTTGATCCATTCGTTGATGAAAAGTCTTCTTTATGTTGGTGCTCTTTACTTTTTGGTATATTTTTAGTAAGGCTAATACTGGTTGTTTCTTTCTGTGTGTAATGCCTCTTTCAGAAGCTCTTGTAAAGCAGGCCTGGTGGTAATAAAATCTCTGAGTACTTGCTTGTTCATAAAAGATTTTATTTTTCCTTCAGTTGTGAAGCTTAGTTTGGCTGGATATGGAATTCTGGGCTGAAGGTTCTGTTCTTTGAGGATGTTGAATATTGGCCCCCACTCTCTTCTGGCTTGTAGAGTTTCTGCTGAGAGATCTGCTGTAAGTCTGATAGGCTTGCCTTTGTGGGTAACCTGACCTCTCTCTCTGGCTGCCCTTAGTATTTTCTCCTTCGTTTCAACCTTGGGGAATCTAACGATTACGTGCCTTGGGGTTGCTCTTCTTGAGGAATATCTTTTTGATGTTCTCTGTATTACCTGGGGTTGAATATTGACCTGCTTTGCTAGTTCAGGAAAATTTTCCTGAATAGTATCCTGAAGGATATTTTCCAGCTTGGATTCATTCTCTCCGTCACATTCAGGTATACCTATCAAACGTAAATTGGGTCTTTTCACATAGTCCCACATTTCTTGGAGACTTTGCTCATTTTTTTTTATCCTTTTATCTCTAATTTTGTCTTCTTGTTTTCTTTAAGTTGGACGTTGACCTCTGTTATCCTTTCTTCTGCTTGAACAATTCGAGTGTTTAAACCTGTGCATATTTCTCGGAGTTGCTATATTGTATTCTTCAGTTCCATTAATTCACTTATATTCCTCTCTAAGTTGTCTATTCTCAATAGGATTTCGTCAAACCTTTTTTCAAAGTTCTTAGTTTCTTTACATTGGGCTACAACATGTTCTTTTAACTCACAGAAGTTTCTTATTATCCATTCCCTGAAGAGTGATTCTGTCTTTGGGATGCGCTTGTTCTCCATCAAGCCTTGTTCCATTGTTGATGTGGAACTGTGATTATCTTTACAGGGAGAGGCGTTCTGATTTTGAGTATTCTCAACCTTTTTATGCTGGTTTCTTCCCATCATTGTAAATTTATCCTCCTGTTATCTTTGAAATTACCAACTTTCAGATTAGTTCTCTTGATTGGACGTCCAAGTTGTTAGTTCCCAGGGCCAGGCGTGAAGACTGATGGTGCTTTTCTGCCCAGGATTCTCCTGTCTGTCTTCCTTCTTGTGTCCATAATGGGCGACTCTGCCTTTCCCAGGCTCCAAACCTCGGTCAGAAGGGGAACAGTCTCGTTTACTCTGCGCCTAGAGCTGCCGCGCTGAGGTGCTGTCACAGCCTCAGCGCCGGCCACAAGAGTTGCTCTGGCGACTAGTGTGGGTCCTCCAAGCCTTGGTCAGAAGGGGAACCAGTCTCGTTTACTGTGCGCCTCGGTCTCAGGAGTCGTGCTGGGGACCCGTGTGGGTCCTCCAAACCTCGGTCAGAAGGGGAGCCGGCCCTGTTTACTCTGCTCCAAGAGCTGCCGTGCCGAGGTGCTGGCGAAGCCACTGCGCCGGCCACAAGAGTCACTCTGACGACTCGTGTGGGTCCTCCAAGCCTCGGTCAGAAGGGGAACCAGTCTCCTTTACTCTGCGCCAAGAGCTGCCGCGCTGAGGTGCTGTCACAGCCGCTGCGTCTGTCTCAGGAATCATGCTGGGGACCCGTGTGGGTCCTCCAAGCCTCGGTCAGAAGGGGAGCCAGCCCTGTTTAGTCTTCTCTGAGAGCTGCCGCGCCAAGGTGCCGGCGAAACCGCTGCGCCGGCCCAAGAGTCGCCTGGCGACCCATGTGGTTTCTCCACTGGGGATCTTTTGCTCCGTGAGCGACCAGAATTTGTCTGAAAGTGTGGCATCCTCTAGTTCTCTGCGCTTTGACTGAGAGCTACAATCCCGAGCTGTTATCGATTGGCCATCTTGGATCGTTCCCAGAAAGTTTTATTTAAGCACTTTTAGTATGGAATTGCAGATGTAATTTGCCCTCCACAAAAGAAATAGAAGGTTCTTTCATGGATATTCAAGTAGTTGTTTCTGATAAAGATATTTGTGTTATATTTGCGTGGTTGCTTTTAGATTTTTTCATAATATAATTATTTTCTGAAGATTTAAATTGACATTGTTTTAGATAAAATAGTTACAAAAATAGCATAAAGAATTCCTCTATACCCTTCATTAGTTTCTCCAAATGTTAACATTTCACTACATTTGCTTTTCTGTCTTTTTCTCTGAACATACATGTGTGTATGTGTACAATGATTGTTTTTTAGAATCACTTAATAGTAATTAATGTACATAATAGCACTTTAAGTACTTCAGTTTGTATTTTCTAAAAGAAGGACTTTTGTTTTACTTGACCTCAGAACAGTTGTCAAAATGAGGAAACTAAACCTGTGGAGTAATATTATCTAACCTAAAGACCTTAATCATATTTTTTCAATTGTAGTGTGGCTGTGTTTTCATAGTATGCATTTGAGTTTTCCTCTTTGGGCTTCGAAAAATCCATTCTGTAACACCATTACTAAGAATTATAATATGGAGTCACGGAGTATCTTTTTGAAACAGAATGTTACTTAAAAACTTAATTTGATTTTTTTTTAATCTACCTCATACATAACTTGCCCTTTTTTCTTTATAACACAAATTATAGTTTTCTTAACTAAACTTTCTGTTAAATTCATAACCAGTGTCCTACTATTAAGACATAGATAATAAATTTAGACTTTTGTCAGTGAGGAAACATTTATTGAACAATTTTTCTTCTGTTTGTTGGTTTAAAAAAATAAGATTACCTTCTGTCCTCAAGAAGCTCATTGTTTAAGGGGAGGATTTTCTGTTTTGATGGGCTTCTTATTAAGGTACATAAATTCATAGTCTTACAGTTTTGTGTACTGAATAGGCAAAAACCAATTCTGGTTTCATAAGCATGAAAATGACATTTTGCAAAGATAGTCTACAATTTCTTATTTGTTCAATAAAACCCCTTTCGAATATGAAAGGGGTTTTTTATTCAACTTATATTTGAATGTAAGTTTTTAGTGAAGCTCTAGCTCCTTTATCATATATGGTAAATGCCTTTTGAAGTGACTTTTAAGTAGCTATAGTATAAGTGATTTCTGCTGCTTCTTTTGTCTCAATCAATTTGTGTAAGAAAGAAATCCAAAAACATAACATAAAAATTACCTTAAGTTTTTTATTTTTATTTAAAGGTACTTTAGGTTTCAGTGATAAATCGAAGAAAGGAGGTGATTTTTCTTAAACCATGTCAAGTAAGAGCCTCACTTAAATTTAAAATGCTTGGATAGAATTGGTCTTGTGTTACCATTTGGTCTGGCTTGCTTTGAAGTCTTAGACCTAAAAGGCCTTACCAGAAAATATCAAAGAGTAAAATGTGAAACATTAGCCAGGAAAAATAAAGTGATCAAACAGCTAAGGCATGAAAGAAAATATTTACACCCGAAGAAGCTTGCAGTTGATTCAAAAGACAAATATTAAGGAACAACAAAGTAAAATGTTACCATCTGTTTCAAAATACTGTAAAGACTTGGAAATTGGGCATTCATTTCAGTTGGCCAGTAGCTTAATACCTTGTTAAAACATCAAACAGATGTTGAAAGCCACTTGTTATTTACCTCATCAGTCATACTCACAGCAAAGTTCTGGTAATTGTCTCTGAGTGTTAAAATGCTATGCTGCAGAAGAGAAGGTTGTTGAAAAAAGATGACCTACATTAAATAACAATTCTAGAGCTTATTATTTTTTAATAATTTTTCTATGATTAAAAGGGAAACTAAAATATTTGAAACAAAGTTTATCTCTTGTCCTGTCAGACGTCTCCTTAGCTGTTCTATAGCTAAATAAATCTCTTTACCTAGCTCACCCTCCACTTGTCCACGTACTTTATTCTTGCTGGATACAGGACAAGAAATTGGGACCTGCCAAATGGTAGGGCTAAGACAGCTCTAACAAACAGTGCTGAAACAATCCCTTGCTTGCCACATTGCAGGACAGGAGAAAAGAGCTGTAGCCCTTTGGGGAGCCCAGACCTAGGAACTTTCTGAGCCAGGGCTTTGACACTCTCTTTGGGGCTCTGCAGTTCCTGGCCTCTGCAAGCTTCCAGGCACAGCCATGTTCCCTGGTGCCAGCCATGGAAGCTGCTTGCAACATACCTGGTTCAGCTGCAGCCTTACAGGGAGCCAGCCTCTGTGTCAGCACCTGGATCTGCCTGCCCTGATGCAGCCAGTGAGCATGGCTGTGCACAGTGCCAGACCCCAAGCTCACTCATATACCCCTTGCTTCTCCATGCCTGGCTCTCCCTTGGCAGGTGTGGCATCCAGGCCAGTAGCTCGAGCCGACCACAGCCTGCCAGTCCAAGTGGATGGAATGAGCACAGTGGGCCCAAGTAAACTCAGGCAAATGCACCAAGTAAACTCAGGCAAAGACCGTAGAGATTTCCACCTGGCAAAGCAGCACCCCAAAATCCCATGACAGTATGTTCTTTTATAGAAAAAATATAAATCATTTTGAGAGACATTATAAAAGACCTATATAAATATGGAGATATCGTGTTTACAGATTGCTAGGGTCAGTATTGTAAAGATGTTAGTTCTCTACAACCTGTCTTTATATCTTAGCTATTTTCAATAAAAATTTAACTGTATGTGAAAGAGAAAATATTTGGCATGGTAGTTTTAAAATGTATGTAAAGAAGAACGAACACTTGCAAAGAGCCTACATTTTCCCAAAGAGAAACTAAAAGGTGTGTCTGTTCTGAGAGGTCTAACAATTATCAGTAATATTTAATAAAATATATTTTATAGAAAATATTTAAAATAGTGTAATACTGTACTATTAGGCAAATTTACAAAATGAACAGATGAGGGAGCCAAGAAACAAACCTACATATGTTTGGAGATTTGATTTAGGGTACAGCTGACACTGCAGACTACTTAGGGAGAAAGAGATTTCAATAAAGGGAAAAGACCTCAGTTGATTATGTAGGAAAACAAATTGTACCTTGTCTGACATTATATGAAAAATGAATTCTAGATGGATCAAGAAACTTAAGTATAAATGGCTAAACTGTGAAACTTTGACAAAATAATAGATTATTTTGACAAAATCAGTAAGTATAAGGAAAAAAGATTACAAATGAAAGATAAGAACTTCTTATTCATAAACAGATACCATAAACAGAAAGAAAAAACAAAACCACAAAGTGGTAGAAAGTATGTCAAGTCATAATTACTGAAGAAGGCATTAGTATCTGGAATTAAAGAACAACTGCACAGTAAAAGGTTATCATAGCCTAAGACTGTTGTCTTTAGAAAATAAATCCTGCTAGCAATGTTTGCCATTGGCTATTGTCTTGAAACCTCGATTGCAGAAATGTTCCCATGGATCCCTAACTGCTGAGGCTAGTTTCTTGTCGTTGTAAACAACCAAAGCTCTTTATGCTAAACCCTTGCTTTTCTTTTTGAGGTCTTGAATTTTTGTACATGACGGGCAGAGTTTGCCTGTGTGACAAGTTCCAAATAAAATCCTTGAATTTTCAATGGGCTTCCCTGGCCAGAAACATCACATAGCATTTGTTCTTCAAGATGGGAAAGAGATTAAAAGGAAAAAAGAAAAATACATCACATACATGATGCTACATTTTTGTTGCTGGAAGAAGAATGTATTGTGTGTGATCCCTGATAGGAGGGTTAGAGCATAAGGAAGCCTGCATACAGGTTCCTTAAGACTCCCTCTCCATCTTTGTCCCTTGTTATCCAGCTATGTCCTTACTGTGTTACTGAAATAAATTTTAGCTGTGAGTATGCTTAGGTCTAGTAAGTCCTTCTAATGAATTTCTAAACATGAGAGTGGTATTGAGGACCCCAAAACAACTAGAGAAATAAGCAAAAGACTTGAATGGGCATATCACACAATAACAAAATCAAATGAGTAATAAACATATGAACACATGCCTCAATGTCATTAATTTTCAAGGAAATGCAATTGAAAACCACAATAGATTTTATATACCAGATTGTTAAACATTAAAAAAATCCGTTAAGTTTTGGTGAAGAAGTAAAACAATAGGAACTATCATCACTGCTGGCAGGTGTATAGATTGCTATAACGCCTTTTGAAAAACATTTGGTGTCATGTAATGAAGTAGAAAGTGCACAGATCCTATAGCTTAGAAATCTGGTTCCAGGTTGTTACCCTTGGGAACCTTTTTCAGATGTATACCATACATGGTATTCTGTGCAACATTGTTCATAATATTAATGATAAAAAGCAGGAAACAACTTAAATGCCATTAACCTTTGAATGTATAACTAAATTATGATGTATTAGTAAAATAGAAATAAGAATTTAATGGGTACACCTTCATGCAACAATATAGATAATGTTGATTGAAAAAGCAAAATACAGTCATCCTAATTCCAGTGTTATAAAGTTCAGAAATGTGCTTTACTAAACAGTAATTTTTTAGAAATACAAACATATGGCAAAACCATCAGGAAATAGAAGAGAATGATAAACATAAAAATTCTAGACATTTTTTTCCTTTTGAGGAACAGGGCTGGAGATGGAATCAGGGAGAAGAACAAAGGGACCTTCAGTGATAATTTTATGTTCTTCACTTAAACTTCTTCTTGGTACATGGGTGTTCATTGAAGCTTTCTTCTTTATACCTTATTCATATTTAATCAGCAGTGTTTCACATTCATTCAATATTTGCTAAACAATTTTCAAAAAACTTTTTATGTGAGCGAAATTGTGAGGAAATAGGCACCCTCATGTATTACTTATGACAATATAAGTTGATACAACTTCTCCAAAGGGCAATTTGGTGTGATTAATCAAAATTTAAAATGCACATACCTTATGATCTTGAAGTACCACCTCTAAGATTATATCTGTCTTTTATATGTATATACTTGTGGGAAATACTTATAATATATTCATCTTACTGATAATAGCAAAATAATGGAAGTTCTAAAACACTTTTTTTGGTCAAGCTAAGTGCATCAATGAAATTATTGGCAGTTTTCAAATATGAGGAAACTCTATACTCTTTGAGGAACAAAGAGGTATATAGCAATATATATAGTATTCTACCATGTAAAGTAATATGTATAGTATTCTACATTAAATATCTGTATTATGATGATTAGTTTAGAATGTTTTCCAGCAACAGTTGTTAATTTAATTGCATGGGACTTTTACATAGATCTTACCACACTGATTGTAAAAATATACTATTGCTTCCTTCCCTGTTGTAATTATTCATTATTTTAATGTATCATTACAGATATCCCTCATACTTGGCCCCTGAGGTAATTGCACAGGGAATTTTCAAAACCACTGATCACATGTCAAGTAAAAAACCATTGCCTTCTGGCCCCAAATCAGATGTATGGTCTCTTGGAATCATTTTATTTGAGCTTTGTGTGGTATGTATAAAGAAATATTAATATAATAAAAACAAATTGTACATTTATTGAAATAATCTTTTGGAGAGGAAAGTTATTTAATAATATGTTTTTGCTGTAGAAATTGATTACATATGAGGAGAAGGCTTAATTTGATTTAATCATGTTTAATAAATTTACATTTTTTTGGGATCTCTAGAAACATTCTTTTACTAAGTGTGAATGTAAATGTTACCAGATGTATATTATTTTTATGTCTCTAGTAATGTGTACATTTTTACTAAGTTAAGATGTTTATATTTTGTTACATAAGATATATGGAGTACCATTAAGTTTAACAATATATTGAAATCAAACCTGCATTTTTAGAAGATTGATATGACAGTGATTTCAGTAATTTAAGATTGAGAAGAATGACAGCTTTTTTTCAATGATCTCTCTACCTGTATTTCTGATTTGATAAGTGTTTAAGAACATTTTTTTCTTCTCTAATAAAAAAAATCAAAGCATCTCTTTATAAACATCAGGTACTCTTAAGCCTTTTCCTTCTAAGTTTATTTAAATGATCATATAAGCTTAATTTGTTTATGGTAAGAGAAATATGAAAACTAACATTAATGAAGCATACTCTGCATTATGTAACCCTCACCATATGTGATACAGTTAATATTTTAATTTTATAGATGAGAAAAGTAAGACTTCAGGTGGTTAAGTAGGTTGCCCAAATTATGTAACTGTCTGCTGGTGGAAGAGTTCAGTTGGCATACAATCGTTGCTCAGCTCATAAATGCTGAAGGTATAAGTGGTTGACTCAGACCTTATACCAAGGAGCCTCCTGAAGCTGACTAATAAGGAAACAATTAAAATATACTGTGTGCATTTATAAAAAATATACTAGGTGTGTAGGAGCATGAAGTAAGTCTGTCTGAAGTTACTGTGAGAAGAGGAAGGAGTGTTAGGTAAAGTAACAATTAGCTCCGTAGATGAAAGGGTATAATCGATCTTACCCAGGAGGCATCTTGGTCTCAATAAAATAAGGCTCCAGGTGGCCTGGAATACCTCTAGATATCCAGGTATGTGTGGATCTCAAAAACGAACAATGCTTACATCAAACTAGAATATAGTGACCCTTAAATGTATGAAATTTTTAAATGACACATGTTTTGCAACACATTCTAAAATGTTATTTCACCAGTAATTTTTCTTTAGTGGAGCTGACTTTAAAAATCCAATAAAACTTTTTGAGATAAATCGAGATGCCTGATAAAATCATTTTCAGCTATGGGGGAGAAAAAGATCTCCCTAGAAAAAAGATGTAAATATTAACACAAATTTCTTTTTTCATTTTATTTAGGGAAGAAAATTATTTCAGAGCTTGGATATTTCCGAAAGACTAAAATTTTTGCTTACTTTGGGTAAATGTCAGAAAATTGTTTATCTTTCAAATATAAATATAACTTAGTATCTATTAGTAATCATGAATGTTGATGATGTGTTCTTTTGAAATAGTGAGTACACTGAAATACCCCCTTTGCTCAAGTTGCTAATGATAAGTGTTAATGATCAGCAGAACAGCATAGGAAGTGCCTTCTAAAATATTACACCAGAAATTTTTTTATTCTCTGAGGAATTTTAACCTAGATGGAAATAATCCTGGCTTTATGATCTAGCCAAGTAAATTAACTTGTGAAATCAAAATATGAGAATATAAAATTGTATTTTTATAGCGACAATATATCTTAATGTTTGGGCTATCTTTCTGTCTGATCAATCATGTACAAATAACAACTCAAGAAGAATATTGATTTTTCTTTATAAAAGGCTGATATGTATTTCCATGTATGTAGATCCAAACGTGTAATTCAAATTAATAAAAATTTATGTAATCTACTTTAGATTGGAAATAATTAAGCATGTTTGATAATTAAGGAGAAAAAAACAGTGATAGAACACTTTATATAAAAGAGTGACAGATTGATATCTAAGTTATGAAGGTTGGCAAATAAGAATATGTGTGGGAAAATATTAGTAAACATTGAATAATAATGATTTTATAAGTAAATATGCAAAAATTTTACCAGATTTACCACATTTAATTACAAAGATTAATACTACAGCTATTAAGAAGCCTTGGAGATTCTTAAACGTGGTCTGTAATCTAAACTTATACTTTAAATTCCCAGATAAATGTACGTACATTTTTCAAATTATGTATAATAAAACAAATTTGTCTTGTAATCATGAAAAAAAAAGTTACAAAGCCTTCTTAAAAGTGCTGTTTATATACAGTCATTTCTTGAAGAGAATTGTTTATAGCACCTGCACATGTACCAAAATTGATGTGTACTCTAGTTTCATAGTCAGTCCCGCAGAACTCATGTGTAGGAAAAATGGGTCCTCCATACATGTGGATTTCGTATCTACAAATACTGTATTTTTCAACTCATGGTTGGTTGGAAACAATCCACATATAAGTGGACCTGTGCAGTTCAAACCCATGTTGTTCAAGGGTCAACTGTGTGTTTCTGCATATATGTATTTAGAGACAGAGATCGAGTATCTTTACCTTCCTTGAAAGGAATTGCTCTTTTATCAAACTTATTAAGATGATATCTTTCAGTATCAGTTTTTCAATTAGTATTTGTCTGAAACTTTTCATTTTTATCAAAACATGTAAGGAAATTTAACAAAATGAAAAAGTTTTCTGTATTCTGAGTTCCAGAACTGCATTACTCCATTAAAACATTTTTGATCAGAGTTTATTTTTTGATTTGTTGGATAGTTTAGAAAAGAGGCATTTATTCATATAGTTTTTTCTGTTTTATAGATTGTGTAGATGACACTTTAACAGTTTTGGCTGAGGAGCATGGTTGTCTGGACATTATAAAGGTTTGTCATTAATCTTTGTCATTATAAAGGTTTGTCTATTTGTGCTGCTATAACAAAATACCTGATATTGAATAATTTATAAAGATAAAAATTTGTTTTTCCATAGTTATTAAAACTAGGAAGTCCAAGATCAAGGCACCAGTAGGTTCAGTTGTCTAGTGAGGGCTGCAGTCTCCTGAGAGAGGAATACTGTCCTCACAAGGCTGAAGGGCAAACAAGGCAATTGCTAAGTGAAGGCTCCCTTTTATAAGCCTCTTAATGCCATTCACCAGGGGAAGAGCTCTTATGATGTAATCACTTCTTATAGGCCCCACCTCTTAATACCATCACATTGACCATTAAGTTTCAAAGTTTGTTAAGCCTGAACTTTGGAAGGGATACAATAAAACAATGGCAATCTGTTAATCAAAATTTATTTTACACACTTGGGATCCAATTGCAAGCTATTTTAAAGCAATGCTTATTTCCCATTAAGTATTTGCCTTTGCACAGTGACTAAATTTGTATAAAGTACAAATAAAAACTTTAAAAAAAATCAAAACCCTCTAGATTAGCAAACATTTAAATAAAATATATTACTAAAATTGATCATTTTAATTAATTATTTTCTCTCTTTACCAGGAGCTTCCTAAAACTGCGATAGATCTTTTGAAGAAATGTCTCACCTTCCATCCTTCTAAGAGGTTAATGTTATTTGGATATTGGGATTACATTGAGATCCTTTACACATAAGCACTTGATTTTTTTCTTATTTGTCCTAACATAGTGGATTAAATATATATAATGTACATATGTAGTAATATGAAATTGACATCAGTATCATAACTGTGAATGATGTAAGCTTTCATTTTTTGTGAATAAATGAAAAAGTAATTAAAGTTAAACAATAGTCAAAAACCGACATATACTAAAGAAGGTACTAGTTCATTTCCAGCCTTCTAAGTAGAAAGTCAACTAAACTGTGGAATGTAGATATTCCTAGACCCAATAATATCACCAGAGAAATGAGAATAAAAGTTTGTTGTCAATATGTATTATGGCAGTGAATTTGGGTAAGTGATATAATAAACTAACAATTGTTGATAATAAGAAATGATTTCTTAGAAGTTCATTAATTGACTTTCATTTGATGATATTGCTACTAGTCATACAGCTATTTCTAAACTCCTTAAGTATATAATGTTTGAAAATAGTGTATCCAAATTTGTCTTTAGCAAAACAACTTTACCAAGACATGTTAGAGAGAAATAGTAGTTTTGTGTGAATGTACCACATTAAAGTAAAGGACAGGAGGAAAACCCAAAAGGTATTATTATAATAGTTTGCATATTTATTATTTAATTAAGATATTCAGTAAAGCAGTTGAATGCTAGTCAGGCTAAAAGTAAAAAAAAATGCAGAAGCTCTTATGGAGTGATATTTTTGATACATCATAAGGTAAAGAAAGTACAACAGAAGTAAAAAAAAATTAGATTTCAGTATTTACTCACAGTTAATTGATTGTAATATAAAAGTATACATGTAGACGCTGCAAAAGAGAGCTGTATTTTTTTCTGTGCTAATGAGATATTTAAAATGTTTATCCTCTTGAATATATGCCATTATTATAGGAAATTTTTTATGACTTTCATTCATGCTCTGTATTTTAAATGTTCTCAAGGCTAACCCCAGATGAATTAATGAAGGACAAAGTTTTCAGTGAGGTGTCACCTTTATATACCCACTTTACCAAACCTGCCAGTCTGTTTTCATCTTCTCTGAGATGTGCTGATTTAACTCTGCCTGAGGATATCAGTCAGTTGTGTAAAGGTAATGATAAATTAAAGCATATAAAATAATATGAGCCTTGTTTTTAAAGCAAGTTTTCTTATCCTAGTTTAAGCTGAATTTATCAACAATATGTATTAGTGATACAGATAGTTATCTGAGAATTAAGAGATGATTCTGGAAGTGATTAAAATATAACTGACTGGCTGGGTGTGGTGGCTCATGCCTGTAATCCCAGCAACGTTTGGGAGGTCAAAGAGGGAGGATCGCTTGAGACCAGGCATTTGAGACCAGCCTGGTCAACATCGAGATATCCTGTCTCTACAAAAAATAAAGAGTATATACACATACACACACACAAATACATATATGCGTATAGTTAGTCCGAGCCTAACTTGCTTGGATAATATCAGAGCCTAACTGAACTGGTGAAGGGAAATATCAAAGTGCAGTCAGCTCTAGCTTTCTATGTGGTGGTTAAAGTTAACCAAAGCATTGTATAGTTAATCCTGTGATTAGGTCTCAGTCTTTAAGGGGGCCTGTGCCTCTAGCCTTTAGACAAGTGCTTCTTTGCCCTTAAGGAGTGGCTAGAATAAACACACACACACACACACACACACACACACACACACGCACTTGAACTAACAGTTTATCCTTTAAATTTAAGTTACTGATATTCCATATAATTTATTTATAAATGATATCTAAAATATTATTGATAAGAATTACATACTATTATATTGTGAATGTTGAAGAGAATATCTGCTTTTAGTCTTTCAGTTCTTGTGTGAAGATTACAACTCTTGGAATGTAAGGTTTAGTGACATCAGTAAGTTACCTCTATTCTGAAAAGTTTTTATGACTTAACTCATGGCAGACAATAGTTAACTAAACATCCATTCAATTAAACATTTATTGAGTTCCTGGTATGTGTCACATGCTGTATTTTAAGCATTCATGCCGAATGGAATGGCATGACATATTTAGTTATATAATCACTATTATAAATGAAAGGTCAATATGAGTATAGCACAGTGGCAGCACAGCAGGAGCACCTAGTTCTGTATTTCTGTCTGGGACATCAAGGAAGACTTCAGAAAAGGCAGCCAGCCATTGCCTTGGGACATGAGGGAAGGAACAATTTGTGCTGGTTCCTTCCCCATGTGCTATTTTTTACCCTTATTCTTTTTACAATATACAGTGTAAAATTACCAATACTATGTATTATAAAGGGTAAAAATTCCAGGTTTTCGTTTTTCTGGTTTCCCTTGATATGGGCAGTAAGCTTGTGAACTAGAGTTGGCTAATGGGATCTAAATGAAATTACTTGGCATAAGGGCTACTTATAGGGAAAGAAAATTTTTGTGACAGGAAATGTACTGCAGCATAGGTACACCACTTTCTTCTCTTCTGAATGCAGGAAATGGTCTGGAATTTTGACAAGCATAGGCCCCTCCTATACCTATGATTGTATTAAGAGAGATGAATAAATGTCTTTATTATATAAGCCACTTTTAGTAATATATTATTTTCAGCCTGGAGCATTCAAATTATTACAAAAATTGAATGAGAATCTGCCAGTCATGGCATACCTCCAGGTAGAAGAAGGGAAATACCAAGCTCCAGCTCATTCTAGCCACTCCTTAAGGGCAAGGAAACACTTTGACTAGAGTCACTGGCTCACTTAAAGATTGAGACCTGATCATAGGGCTGACTACAGAATGCTTCTGTTCCCCACACCTTAACCACCATGTAGAGGGCTAGAGCTGGCTTCACTTTGGTATTTCCTCTTTCCAGGTCAGTTAGGCTCTGATATTATCCATGCAAGTTGGGCTCTGACTAACCAGTTTATCCTGAAGGCATACATTGTTAAGAACAGCGCTCATTTTATTTCAAAATGGTTCCATTTCCACTGCCACTGCTGGAAACATAAGAGCATTTTTCTCCAATATTTAATGTGAGAATCTTGTCAAACTCCTGGTGATAAAACTCACAGAAGTGTCGGGGTATCTCTTATGACTGGTTCCCTCTGGAGTTTTTAACTCTCAGATTTGTCTACATTGAGCCTCCAGTAATTTATTAATTACCATTTAGGTTTTCCAAATTTGGCCCTGGTTCCTGAGGCACTGCCCATGAATGTCTGTTCCAGTAGGCCGTAGCTCCCTGTATTCTCCTGTCTCCAGACTTGGGACAGAAGTTTGCCCTATGTCCTCAACTCTCTTACAGATCCAATAATCGTTGATTTTTCAGTCTCTTCAAATTTCTATTTGTTGTTAGGATGGAGTAGCAAATCTCAGGCTTCTTACAGTCAGAACTAGAAACTAGAAGTCTGTTCTTCAGTGTTTATTTTTTTAGAATGGTAGCTATTATTGCCTGTTGACTTTTAATAAAAGTAGAAAATAAAATACAGTGATTTCTTAAATTTACTTTTAATAGATATAACCAATGATTACCTGGCAGAAAGATCTATTGAAGAAGTTTATTACCTTTGGTGTTTGGCTGGAGGTGACTTGGAGAAAGAGCTTGTCAACAAGGAAATCATTCGATCTAAACCACCTATCTGCACACTCCCCAAGTAAGGAAAGTAACTTCTCTTGAAAATTTAAATAAATAAATAGTTATAATTATACATGTATGGCAATAATAAAAAAGAAAATTTGTTGTTTTTAAAAACTTTTTTGGTAGGCATTTCAACAAAGTGATTATTGGAAGCAATTGGAATCAATACCTTGTTTGATTGTCCAAAGTTTCTAATTGTAGAGTTCCCATCAGTTGTCTTTGATCAGTACTTTGCTTTGTGACCTGTACAAAATGAAGTTAATATTATGGAATATCTTGGAATAATTGCTGTTAATGAAAAATATACAAATCATAATAGGATATTTAAGAGCATTAACTAAAAACTAGCTTAGTGTGCCTACTCTGAAGAACTATGTTCTTTTCGCAAATATGCTTGTAAATGTAAATGAACTCTGTAGCCTCACTGCATGTTGTAGAGATGATCACTGTGCTTAGTGTGTTGCAAAAAAAATCTGCAAAACTGCGTAAGAAGATGTCATGCTAGAAATTAGACTGGAAGTTAAATACCTCTACAGCCTTGGGGCTAAGATTATCATTAGTGTTGCTCTTCATGTTTATTCATAAAAATATGAACCTAAATTTCTTAGGTTCTACTAATACTTTAAACTTTTAATTTTACTGGGCATGGTGGCTCGTGCCTGTGATCCCAGCACTTTGGGAGGCAAGGCAGGTGGATTGCTTGAGCCCAGGAATTTGAGACCAGCCTGGGCAACATGGTGAAACCCTGTCTCTACAAAGAAAAAATAATTAGCTGGGCATGGTGTCATGTGCCTGTAGTCCCAGCTACACAGGCAGCTGCAGGTGAGGCTGCAGCCAGCCAAGTGCCGTAGCCAAGTGCTACTGCACTTCACCATGAGCAAATGAGAGAGCCGGTCTCAAAATAAAATAAAATAAAATTTTAAGTTTTAGATTTCAGGACTTATTTGATCATTGTAGGTAACTGTGGAAGTCATCTGCTCATCATTTTCTTACATTTTAAACTTTCGTATTGTTTGGATTGACTATTTTCTACTTTTTTCCCTCTCTTAATCTGATTTTAAGTGTTAACTTTGATTATACCATACATTGAATTAAGTGGAAAATTGGCCGGGCGCGGTGGCTCAAGTCTGTAATCCCAGCACTTTGGGAGGCCGAGGTGGGTGGATCACGAGGTCAAGAGATCGAGACCATCCTGGTCAACATGGTGAAACCCCATCTCTACTAAAAATTCAAAAAATTAGCTGGGCATAGTGGCATGTGCCTGAAATTCCAGCTACTCAGGAGACTGAGGCAGGAGAATTGCCTGAACCCAGGAGGTGGAGGTTGTGGTGAGCCGAGATTGCGCCATTGCACTCCAGCCTGAGTAACAAGAGTGAAACTCCGTCTCAAAAAAAAAAAGAAAATCAGAGACAAGTTTACAGAAATTTCAAGAAGGAATGGTGGAAAGGATATATAGACTCTTAAAACTAATTTACTGAAATTGTAAACAAATTTTATTTGTTTGTTATTCAATATTCTTTCTTCTGTGAAGTTACTATCCAGTATGCTTTTTCTTTCTTCCCTTTTCTTTTTCCACCCTTATAAACTTTCTCAGGAACACATTTGGGTAATGTCAAGAGAGTACTGTTGCATTGAAACTGCATGAACAAAGGGTTGTAAATGACACTTTTGTTTTTCTGAAATTCTCTGTATTTATATTCATACCTACTCAAGAGATATCTAAAAATGAGACTTGTTTGAAGAAATCTCAATACATTGTTTTATTAAACATCCAGTCTAAAGTTTAATTCTTTTTTGAGGAAGGGATTGATGACTTAGAATAAACTTTACTTTCTAGAAGAGACAATAAGCTGGATTTTGTGTGCATATTGTTATCTTTAAAAATTTCTTTTCAGTTTTCTCTTTGAGGATGGTGAAAGCTTTGGACAAGGTCGAGATAGAAGCTCACTTTTAGATGATACCACTGTGACATTGTCATTATGCCAGCTAAGAAATGTAAGAATTATATTTTGACAATGCTACTTTAGTTTTTTTTTTTTTTTAATTAAAACCTTACAGATACACAAGAATTCTTGTATTTCTCCTTGATTTCACATAATATGGGAGAGCTTCTGTAAAGTGTGTGCCCCACAGTAGAATTGCATCTGTATGACTTGAGCTTTATTATCTGATTGTTCACAAAAAATGATTTTATCAGTTTATCTTTTCACCATCATTGGATAACTGTTCTCATTTCTTTATTTACTTGGTAACCCTTTCTTTTATCAAATTTTTAAAAATTATTAATCTGATGGTATGGAAAGATATTTTACTGTAACACTAATTTTAAATTTCCTGATAATATTGCAGTCGTAAGTCTTTTCATGTATTTTAGCGGTTTGCCTACCTCTTCTGTGTTTTACTAGTTCATATTTTTTGGTTTTTCTGTTGAATGATTTCTTATTGATTTGAGGACTTCTAACACTATATCCCAGATATTGTATCTTTGTGAGCTATGTATCATGAAAATATATTCTAATCTGTGGCTTTTCCTTCAACTTGTTGATTCTTATCTTTTATTAAATAGAATTCTAAATTTTTATCAGTATTTTCTTTTATAGTCAAATATATTTTATTTGATGTATTTTTTCTTGTAATTTATTTAAAGTAATAGCAAGGTTATAAGTATTTTTATAATGTGTTTGTATATTTCCTTTTAAAAGATTTAAAGAATTGTTTCACATTTAGCTATTTAATCCACATGGAATTTATTTTTGATTAACTTGTAAGGAGGGTTCCCAATATCATATTTCATTGATTAAAAAAAGACTCCTTGTCTCAGTATCATATATTGAATAGTTTTCACTTTTTTGATCTATAATACCAACTTTTTCTATGTGTATGGATATGTTTCTGGGCCTTGGTATTCTGATTTGTTGGCCTGTTTGTCTAATTTTAGCTAATACCACATTGTTTTAATCCATAGTTTCATGTGAACTGTTGATGCCTAGCAGGGAAGACCTTCAGTTTTTTTTGTCCTCAAAATGGAGCTCTTTAACATCTTCCTCTACTAGCTGATTTGTATAATCATTATAAAGAGGTTCATAAAAAATTATAGGGTTTTGATTGACATTGCATTGAATTTATAGGTTAATTTGTAGAGAATTGATGTATTTAAAATATAGAGTTTTATTTCTTGAACATACTTAAATAAACATATCATTTATTTGTCTTATTTTATATAACAATTTTCTTTTTAGTGTCTGTATATCAGTTTTAAGATTTATTCCTAAGGTAATTCGTTGTTGCTCTTCAAGAGGCTGAGGCAGGAGAATTGCCTGAACCCAGGAGGCGGAGGTTGCAGTGAGCCGAGATTGTGCCATTGCACTCCAGCCTGTGTAACAAGAGCGAAATTCCGTCTAAAAAAAAAAAATATGTGTGTGTATGTGTGTATTATTTTTTTCTAAAATTTTATTTTAAAAAATTTTAAACAGAAAAGTTGAAAAGCATTTACAGTGAACAATTTCCCACCTAGATCAAGCATTGATATGATCTACTAGCAAAATAGAGTCAGACCTATTCATTGTCCTATTATGTATAGCTGTTTTGTTCTACATTGGCAGAAATGAGTAGTTGCAATAGAGACCACATGGCCCACAAAGCTAAAAATATGTATTATATGGCCCTGCATAGAAACAGTTTGCTAATCCCTGACCTAGGTTCTATAATTAACATTTTACTTCCTTTATCACATGTCAGCTTATCCTTCTAGCCATTCATCAGTCCATCATATTTTTTGTTCTTGCATTTTAAAGTAAAATGAAGACATTACTACAATTCAGCTGACACATTAGAGTTTAAGATTTATTTATGGTTCTTTTCTAGGCAAAATTTTCATATAGTAAATTGTACAAATCTTAAGTATACCAGTAGATGAGTTTTAAAAAATATATCAATAATGTTTTTAAAAATACCATTTCAGCTACTGTTTTGTGCATGATTAGTAACACAATTGATTTTTTTATTTTGATTTTGTATCTGGCAACATTGCTGAACCTATTCTTTTTCAAATAATATATCTATAGATTCTCTTTGGTTTTCCTTGTGAATTAAGGTAGTGTCTTTTCCTTCATTTCCAATTCTTATCTACTCACTTCATCTTTTCTCATTATTTTTGCTGAGCCTCTATAACACCATTGAATAGAAACAGAAATAGTGGGCATTCCTGTCATTCCTAGTTTTACAAGGTTGCTTTTGGCTGGGCGTGGTGGCTCAATCCCAGCAATTTGGGAGGCCGAGGCAGGCGGATCACAAGGTCAGCAGATCAAGACCACCCTGGCTAACACAGTGAAACCCCGTCTCTACTAAAAATACAAAAAATTAGCCGGGCGTGGTGGCACACACCTGTAATCCTAGCTACTCAGGAGGCTGAGGCAGGAGAATCACTTGAACCTGGGAGGCAGAGGTTGCAGTGAGCCGAGATTGCACAATTGCACTCTAGCCTGGGTGACAGAGTGAGACTTCATGTCAAAAAAAAATTTGCTTTTTATATATCATAATTAAGTGTAATATTTGTTACATTGAGTTATAGAGGTCTTCTTAGTTTGTTATAAGTTTTATTATGAATGGGTGTTGAATTTCACTGAGTATTTTTACTTTATCTATTGAGATGGTCATATGCTTTTTTATGTATTGTGTTAATGGATTTAATTCTGTGGATAGGGTTTTCCAATGTTAAGCCATGTTTATATTTCTGGGATAAATCCAGTCAGATCAGGATTTCATTTTTCCTTTTTTATACATTTGTGTTTTGATTTTTCTAATATTTTGTTTAGAATGTTTGCATTTCTGTTTCTATGTGAGATGGGCCTGTGAGTTTCTTTTCTTTTACTGCACCCAGCTATTTTGGTATCAGGATATACTAGTCTCATTAAATAAATAGGAGAGTGTTGCCTTTTTTTCCTATTTTCTGAAAGACTTATATGATTACATATATCTATTTCTTTAATGTTTCCTGGCAGTTAGCTTTAAAACTATATTGTAAGGGCTACTTATCCCTATCTGGGTGTATTTTTAGTCATTGCTTCAGTCTTCTTAATGGTTATAAGTTTACTCAGGTTATCAATTTTGTTTTAAAATCATTTCTAAAGTTATATGTTTTGCGGCCTTTACATTTGCTCTTCCCATTGCCTGTAATACTCTTCTGCTGCTTCCATTTCCTTTCTTTCCATTCTTTGCTAAATTGTCACCTACTGGTGGGCCTTTGTTGGCCATCCTTTATAAAATAGCAGTGTCACACCTATCTCTTGTACTCTTTATCCTCTTTAGCTTGTTTTGCTTTTTTCCTCCATTCTACTTCTCTTCATTTGATGTGTTATATATTTTCTTCCTATTTAATAACTGAATGACTGAATCCTGTTTTTACATGAAAGCCCTATTAATATTGTAGTAAAGTATAGGGGAAAGTATTTTATAATCTTATGATTAAGTCTCAGTTTTTTTAGTGAGCCTGTGTTCCTGGGCTGTGACTTTCACAAGGTTTCTCAGCTTCCTCACCCCTCCCCACCCCAACCTGAGACAGGAAAGCTAGAGGAGCTGGAGTTGGGTATTTCTTTTCCCCTACATCAAGGACTAGAGTGGATTGGAGTTTGATATATCCTTCCCAAGTTGGCTAGATTTCTGTAAAACCCAAGTTTAGTTAGGACCTGGTAAAAGAGTTTCCCTTTAAGGCAGGCCTCGTTTAAGGAAAACAGTACTCTGGTGGTATTTCACATTGGTTACTTTCCTCCTCCCCCTGCAGGAAGTCAAGGGTATTTTTCTCAGATCTTCACCCTGGAAGGACCTGTGGGGGTTAATCTCATAGAAGCAAGGAAGGCCTCCCTAAAGTTGGGCTTCCAGAAGTTTTTCTCTCCCATACTAGTTTGTGTTCAGCCTGCAGGTATTAGATAATTACCTTTTAATTGATCTTAACAGGCTCCAGCAGTGGCTCTGTACCTGGTGAGCTGTGATTTGCCTGTATTCGAGGATCCCTCCAGTTTTTAGAACATCACTCGGCTCTGATTCTGATAAATGTTAAAAGAGTTCTTGATTTTCAGTTTGTTCAGCATTTTTCTTGTTAGAGGAAGAATGATGACTTCTAAGTTTTTTATATTTTGTATAAGAAACTGGAAGTCTAAAAAGGCTAGCTTTTTTATTTTTAATCATTCATAGCTAAGGCTAAAATAAGTACCTAGCCTAGCAATTCCTCTAGTTTTTTTCTTTATGTGGCGTTAGAAGGGTCTTCTCCATTTTGAAGGTCTGTTATGCAGGTGCTCAAGTCTTTATCTCATTATGGTCTAAATCTCTAGACCACAGTTCTTAACTCCTTTCTCTGTAGGCCCAGTTTTATATCGGTTATCACTGCATTCTTGTTATGTTTCAAGGCTTTTTCTAATCATTGAATATTTTACATGTTATGTAGTAGGAGAGTATTAGAATCTCTTCTCTGCCATAATGCCAGCAAAAGAAAATTAAAATATATAATTATTATTACTTAATACTCTGAATTCATAATCTCTTTGAAAGAATGTGTAAAGTAACAAAATAAGTAACAATACCATGCAGCAAACAATAAATTACATCCAAAATATTTGATTTCAGTTGATTTTGTTTCGCTCTTGTTTCTTCAATTCAAATTGTATCCAATTTAAATGATTGTAGCCTTCAATGGTCTCAATTCCTTTATAGTTCTACCTGTGAAATTTAAAATACTTTTCTTCTACAGTTATTAAGAAATATTAATTTGCTGAATCTTAAAATTATATGGAAACCAAATAATTTTTATCTTTAGTGTTTTTGAACAACTATTTTCATCTTTCAAAAATCCTAATGTGCTACTTTTTATTTGGAAAAGACAGACAAGAGACTTATTAAATAAAATGTATGACATTCAGGATACTGAAAACTAATATTTAAAAAGATGTATATATTAATGCAGTAAAACTTGGGAAAATTTTATTTCTTTACTTAAAATTTCAATATATGAAAGATATACCTAAAGGTTTACTAAAGTAGGGTAAGAATAAGATAAGTGCACAGCACATTAATTTTAAGAGAAGAACCAGGCATAAATTTAGTGTTTGCCAAATTCTTAGTGTTGAGTTACAGATTTTTTTTCAGCTTTAAAACTTCTGGGAATAACTAACATGGGTGCACAATGACTCTAATCAACAGAAGACCAGTGCTTGCTACACACAGAGCTTGAAGTTCTGTGTCAGTCCCCATAGGAGCAGACATTTTGCCTTCATATTGGAAGTTGAACAGCAGAGCAGCAGGCAAGATGCCATTAACCTTAATCACCTTGCTTAGAATGTGGTTATCATTTTATTTTACTACTGCCTTCCTCCTTATATTTTTGAAGAATACCTATAAACCCGTCAGAGTTGTTATTAGGAACAATATTTATTATAATGACTTTGTAAAAAGCAATCATTAAGTGAATTCTGTCCATTGATTTATTAGCTATTTGAGTCATACATGTTCAAAGTATGATGTGAGAAATTTTTTGGAATCCTTTTCTTTGCACCTTTCCTTTTGACTTAGCTGGTATTATGCCAAAGCAAAAATAAATCTACATTGTGCTTTTAATATATACATGGATATATAGTACCTCTTTTTAATCATCTTTCTTCATATAACTTAATTTTTTCATTCATTAAGTTTTATGCTAGTGCTAGTAATTCTGAGTTGTGTTTGGAAAATATATCATGATAAGTGTCTAAAATTTGTGAGTGATACCTATAGGTAAGAAAAAAGAAAGACAAGATGTTTTTCACAGCCAAACCTAAACCAGCAGAGGCATGATATATTTGCATGTTTATGATAAGAGATTTTTAGATTCTATTTTATATTTTTCTAGGTCCCTTTATAAATTTATAGTTTTTATATTTTCTTTTTAAACAAAGAACAGGGTTTCTACCCAAGATGTTTATACATAAATATTTTGTCTTTAAATACACAGAGATTGAAAGATGTTGGTGGAGAAGCATTTTACCCATTACTTGAAGATGAGTGAGTATATATAGTCTCACTTTACATTTATTTTTCTTTCTGTTTATATTAGATTTATAAGAATTTTATACATTTTTTTGAAATGTGTTTCCTAAATAGGAAATAAAAACATGATGTTTTGGTTTTTTAAAATTTTATAATTTTTTCTGAAATCACTGTCAATAGAGTTAAAAAGAAAAAAATAACATTGTACCTTTTGTGGATTTTTTTTTTGCTTTTGTTCTCTTTTCCAGCCAGTCTAATTTACCTCATTCAAACAGCAATAATGAGTTGTCTGCAGCTGCCACTCTCCCTTTAATCATCAGAGAGAAGGACACAGAGTACCAACTAAACAGAATTATTCTCTTTGACAGGCTGCTAAAGGTATGGAGTCTAAAGTATGAAGTGCTGACAATAGCCCATATGGAATTTTTTTTAATTGTGTTGATAATTCTTAGGAAATCTTGAGTATGAGAAAACTAATTTTTATGACCTATCTTGTCTAGTTAACTTTCTTTAATTTAAAAATGATACATGTTCTCAGTAAGTAAAATTAAATAGAAAAACAAGTTTTGTTACTATATGCAAAATCATGTTAGACAAGGACTAATATCCTTATTTTTTAAAAGAAGACTTAAAAGTCAACAGTAAAAAGCATGAATATTGAAACAGAGAATGGATAGAGTACATAATATAAATACTATTAGTAAATCTATTCAAATTCTTCTTCACTAGGAATGAAAAAAAATAGAAGTTAAAATAGGGGTGTTTTTGTGTACTGCATTAGCAATGTGAGTGCAGATGCAGTAACACTGGAACTCTTATTCTATTGGGATAAATGTGAATGGACTGAAACATTTTGTAAAACAATTTGAGTGCATATATCAATAACCTTAACAACATGTGTCCTTTGTCCTGTTTATACTGTTTTAGAAATTTCTCCTAAGACACAAATTTATAAAAGTACAAGTTTATATGCAAAATGCAGAAGTACCCATGTAGTTCTCTGTCACCATTTTTTTAACAGTCACACTTCTCTGTCACCATATTTTTAACAGAGTGCTTTACCTGCATTATCTTACTTGACCCATATGAAGCTGATACTATTATCCTCCATCTGACTCCTTTAAAATCCCCCCAGAACACAAAATAGAGAGGAAGCCTTAAAAAACAGGTAGAATCAGCTCTTCTTTTTAATTATATAATAAAAGTTTTACAGGGTGTTACGGATTCATTCCACTGCTTATTTATATGTAGTACTAACACCAGACACAATAATTGCAGATACTTTGAAATTTATTACAAGTCACTCCAGTTTTTTGACGTTTCATATTCAGAACTGTCTAGACTAAAAGACGGCACTAGGTAATTTGAGACATTTTCATTTCTTTTTTGATATCATAGGCTTATCCATATAAAAAAAACCAAATCTGGAAAGAAGCAAGAGTTGACATTCCTCCTCTTATGAGAGGTTTAACCTGGGCTGCTCTTCTGGGAGTTGAGGTAAGGAAAAAAGAGAAGGTTAGAAGCTGATAAATAATACTAAGAAAGGATGAAGAAGGATAGCGCTTTTCAAATACTTATTTTTTTCAGTGACTAGAAAATTATATAGTAAAATATAAGTATTTGAATATTTGGCAATTTTAAGTGGAAGGAATATAGGAAAAGAATAGAATAGAAAAATATAATTCAGGTTTATTAGATGATACTATTCAATATTTTATTTAATGGTGCTCACAGAAAATGTTTTGATTATTAATTTTAAAACCAGAGACTATTTTAAGAATATATGTCAGTTACAAGTAGGTAGTCCTGCTTATAAAATATGCTTACTATAGAATATGATTACCTGTGTATAAGTGGTTCTGTCTAATTTTGGAGAAATCTTTCAAATTAATCTGCCTGGTCAAAATCACTAACATAATTTAGTAGCTTTTGGCACACCTATTCCAGCTAGACCAAGAAAAATAGCTCCTTTGTCTTCTATTACACTTTCTCTGTGGTTGTGAAGAAAGGAGAAGTATCACAAATTGTGGTGGCCTGCAATACTAACAGAGAACTTTGATGACATCAGTCATGATAATGGGCCAAATTCTAACCAGATATTTTTCGTTTCTTGTCAATTTCTTTGTCATCTTGTCTTCTCATATTCTCTCATATATAATTATCATTCCTTTTTAAAAAAGGAAGAAGCTGTTGGCACATGCCTGTGATCCCAGCTTCTTGCTGAGACAGGAGGATTACTTGAGCCCAGGAGTTTGAAGCTCTAGTGAACCATGATTGTGCCATTGCACTCTAGCCTGGGTAATAGAACAAGATCCTATCTCTAAAAAAAATTTTTTTGAATCCTCGACTGTTTTTAATCCTTTTCAGTCTTCTGTTTGAAGAATTTCCTTTCTTCATTTTTGATTCCCTTCGTAAGAGTCTACAAATACCTTTGAGTTTGGTTCGTTACTCTACAAGAATGCTTGTTGTTCAATAGCATACATTAATCATTAGATTTGTAGAACAATATAATGCTGAAGTCGAAGAGGACTTTAGGTATCAGGTTGTCCAACTCTCATTAAATGAATATCCCAAAGAAGGTGACATAGCAGATATCAGAGGTTGAGCCCTAATTACTGGCTCTTTCTCTACCTTGATAATAAGCCAGAATGATGATTTTTTTTCTTGCTTGGTCCTATAGAACATGACCAAAATTTGTAGTAGTTTATTTAGTTATTTCTAATTTTTAACAGTGTAACTAAAAAATGTAATTGATCCTGTTAGGCCCTAATGATTCTATCATGTAATTACAGACATAGCATAACAAGGTTGTGTTATGTTGTAGGGGCTGGGAGGCTGGCCAAACATACTTACTAGCTAAGTAATTCATCCACAACATTTATGTTTTGGTATGTATAATTCAAGAGTTTGCCTCAGCAAAATGACAAGCTGTCACTTATCACAGACCTTCATCACAGATTGTCAAAAACACAGAGAATGTCTCTTAAAATGAGGTCTACTGTGGGTTTGAATGTGCTTACATGGAGTTGGGTGGGTTTCCAAAGATAGATATTTGTAAAAAATAGATGTTTTTATATTACTGGTTGTATTAAAGATATGATAAATTAATATATGTTCTATTTTTTTTTTTTTTGCAGGGAGCTATTCATGCCAAGTACGACGCAATTGATAAAGACACTCCAATTCCTACAGATAGACAAGTATGATTTAGATTTTGTTAAGCAACCTAAGATAATTCTGCCAAATATTTAAATTTTAGGAAGGATCGTGATGAAAGTCTCTTTCTCTCATGAATACATAGATGTTGCTATATACATTTTTTTTTAAATGCCAACTGTTTATTCTTCAGGATCCTTGGGTCAGTCGGGTTCAACTGAACTGGGCTGCAAGCTGTAGGCTGGGTTCAGGTCTGCTCTCATTCTGGGGGCTGAGGTTGTTTAGATGCACATTTCAAATTGCAAAGTCTTTCTAGACAATCAGGAATGCAGTTGGGGCCAGCAGTGGCGGGCCCACAGAGAGAGCCCAAAGCCAACCTCTGGGTCAAAGATAGTCAAGTGAAAGCTTGGGAGGGCTTCTGAAACTCTCCCAGCCTGTGGCAGCTGAACCACAAGGAAGGCATTCCTGGTCAGGTAACCAAACTTTGTTACTGAACACTAGGGTTTCAGTCTAAGTCCCATTACTTGCCTTACAGAAAGCCAATCATTGAGACAAGCGTTGACAGGGAAGAAGGATTTATTATAATTATTATTTTTTGAGATGGAGTTTCACTCTTCTTTGCCAGGCTGGAGTGCAATGGCACAATCTATTATTGTTAGAGAAAGCATAACTCAGAATCTATCGTTAGAGAAAGCATAACTCTTATGCTTATAAATTAGTAAGAACAATACCTTAAAGGACTTTAGGTCAAGTTATCTTTTTTTTCCTCGTTTCAAGTTTTAATCAAAGCTTGTATATAAGATTTATTTCTGCATCTTCTCAATTGTTTCTTCCTTGTATTTGCCCTTTTCTTTTCTACTTGGTGAGATTTGACTTTCCGTTCAAGGATCTTTTTGTGGTCTTTGTCCAGTTTTAGCCTAGTGATATCCACCTTGCTGAGGTGAATGCCTATGTGGACAGTTGTGCCATTAGCCTTTTCCCGCTGCACCCGTTCAGTGTAGATTACACATTTCTTCCTGTAAACCTGGACTACTTTGCCAATCTGCTGACCTTTACAGTTTCCTTGTACAACCTGAACTTCATCATCTTTTCAGATGGGCATGGATTGCATGTTGTACTTCTGTCTCAGCCCCTTGGAAGGAGGGGAACCCATAATCTTCCTGCGAATGTGGGAAGGTGCATTGAAATACCTTTTGCAATTCTTTCTTTGGTCAAACGTCACAAAGGGATTGAATTTCATTTTGGCCGCTCCAACTTCAGTGATGGCCACAAAAAGGCCAAGTTACCTTTTCAAAAATGTTTTATTTCTCCATCTGAAAAATTTGCCCTTCATTTAGACTAGATTATAAAGGAAAATGTTTTTGAAAACTATATTAATACATACCTTTTCAAAAGAAATGGTCTGTTTTTCCTGGTTACGTATACATACAACTTCTTTAGTGTTTTTTTAAGATCAATTAAAAAATTCAAAAAATTAGGCACTTAAAAAGTTGGTCTGTTTTGAAATTCATATTATAGCTTCTCCTTTTCCTTATTTATTTAATGAATAAGAGTTAAGGATTTATTGCTAATTACATAATTACTGTTTAACCTTATTGCTTTGCTATTTTAATAGATTGAAGTGGATATTCCTCGCTGTCATCAGTACGATGAACTGTTATCATCACCAGAAGGTCATGCAAAATTTAGGCGTGTATTAAAAGCCTGGGTAGTGTCTCATCCTGATCTTGTGTATTGGCAAGGTAACTTTTTTAGTTACTAAAACTCTTCTGGAATATTAGAAGATTGTTGCATAACTGAGATTTTAAATATTAAAGTATCTAAACATCCTTGTCTTTGGGAAAAGTCAATATTAAAGCTCCAATTCATTTTTCGAGAGGTTTACATGTAAACATTTGTAAAAATCTTTGTCTAAATCCTAGTAGATATCATTTAAACACATAATATTTAAAATGCAAATTTATTAGCAAAGCAGAAAGAATATTTGGAATTGTTGTCTTTGTTTTACATTTTTAAAATGCTTATGCAGCTTGTTAAATCATTTGGGGCTAGTTGAGATTCTTATAGTTAATGATTTCTAATTTATACTTATGGCTATTAGGGCTTAAAAATAGGCTATCACCCTAAACTTCTCATTTTATTTATTGTCTTTTTTCCCTCATATCATTAATGGTTAGTCTTTATTTTTAGCTTTGCCATTATTATTTTTGTGTTTGATAAAGAATGAGAAACCCATTACAGCCCTATTTATTATTATGTTAAAAGTGACTTTTTATATTTCAATTCTCTATTTCTTACTGGCCATAGTTAAAATATAGCTATTATTTTCCTTAGTTCTGTGTATTTCAGAACTATTCTATACCTTCCTAACAATTTAAGGTAGATTTATGTACATTTTTTCTGCATGACAGCACATGCACATCATTATTATCAGTAGAAGAAATGTCATATATTTGGAATTCACCTCACAATTTTTAAAGAATTTCTTTTTCATAATTCCAAAGAAAAAGAACATAGACAAAACTCTATTTCCTAGATGAGAAAGTATGCAAGAAAATGTTAAGTAATTACCAAGATTACACAGTAAGGGTCAGAGATGGGACAATATCCAAAGCATTATAACATTCTCACATTTTTCTATTATTGTATTTCTCTTTTCAACTTATAATAATATGAATAATAATAATAACTGATATATATTGAACACATACTGTGTGCTAGACTATCACTCCCCACAGTAACTCATGAAGTAACATATTTCTGGATGGATAATACTTCTAATGTTTAATCTACATGGAGGTAATGCAAATAACTGAATAAGGTATATATCTTCAATTCTACTAGATTATATTTATTTGACTTCTTTCTTCCAACCCCTCTGCGTTAGGTCTTGACTCACTTTGTGCTCCATTCCTTTATCTAAACTTCAATAATGAAGGTAAGCCTCTTTGTCATTTAAATAATCATTGCTCATAATATTCTAAAATATTTTATTCAGACATGCAAGGTTTTTGATTTTGTTTTAAGTTTCTTATTCTCTCCCTGGTAGAGTTCTGTGAAATAATCTATTATAGACTCATTTTAGAGAGGTGAATGATTAATTTTTTACTGGACAGTTTCAGTTATGCTAAAGCTATTACTAGGAATTTAGTGGAAGTTGATTTTTCTGAATTCTTTAGAGATTAATTTTTGTCTAAGTATACTTTCTAAAGAATTTGTAAAGAAATCAATTATGGTGGCACTTTTCTGTAATCTTGTATCTCCAAAGCCTATAATCATTTCATATACCTCTTCCTTAATGAAGACTTTTCTTATTCTCCTTCTCGAGACCATGAAGCACTTTTTATGAAAATTTATCTTGTGTCTATCTTATATTCTAGTTACTTATATACTAATGTTGTAATTGTTTTTTGACAGCCTTATTTCAATAATAGGTTATTTTTCCTGCCCTTCTGCAATAACTTTGTTATTGTAGGCTTTTCAATAAATACTAAATTTAAATAACTCCAATCTCTGAAATCACATATGGAGTATGTTACCATATATAGCTTGAATGTCTAGATGCCTTATCTGAGAATCTCCATATTTTCAAATTCTGTCTATTTCATGACCAAATTTGCATAGATTTCTGGAATTAAATAGAAATATCATAATTCCAGAGAAATGAAATTTTACTCTTTGAATTATTATTAAATACACTGTTCTCTGATATGCTCACTCATTAATCTAGACTAGAGTTTTTACTGTGTTTAGGTAGGCATAGCCAATTATCACTCATACTGATCCAAGCACAGTAAAGGGTCTGTTTTTGAAAATGTGGATTATAACTACTGTTCCTAAATCCAAAGTTCATAGACTCTTGTTTGCATCAGCAGCAATTAAGGATCATGAGGTCTGTATAACTTATTAATAATGATTATGCTTAGAAATTTTAAGAAAGTTTAGGTAATAAAAGTTTGATTATTGTGTGATAATGATTGCCACACTAGTTTGAAATTGAAGTTATAGAATTATTTTTGTTGTCTAAAATATTTTCTGTTTTAAAGCATAGAGGCTTTTATCTCTTAATTTTGTTTTTCTACCACTTGCTATCGTAACTGTTATTTAATAGTAGATTCAAGGAATATGTGCTAAGTGAATGCATTACTGCTGGTCATCTACCATGTTAACTACTTTTTTACATGCCTTTGCCTTATTCCCTTTTAGCCTTGGCTTATGCGTGTATGTCTGCTTTTATTCCCAAATATCTGTATAACTTCTTCTTAAAAGACAACTCACATGTAATACAAGGTAAGCAAATGTCTTTTCATGTCTTTTTATAGGGAAACTACTGATGTATACTGGTGTGCTGATGTAATACTTGATTAAATTTATGATTTTGACCCCCAAAATATGATGATGGTCCATCCAATAAAGCCCATAAATAGATATGAGAAAGTTCAGTCTTTCTTCCAAATCCACAAAGAATTATGGTATTTTTCTAATGGATATTTGATATCTGATCTCAGTGTAGTTCAAATGCAGGCATGCTAGTTTGAGAAAATAAGAGACTGCTATTTGTTTCTTTCACAAATAAAATTGCTTACAAAAAGCTTCACCATGGAACAAGTCCATTGTGAATTAGTAAAAAGTTTAAATGTTTAATTGTATAAGCAGAATATTAAAAATACTTCTCATTTGTCTTACTTCCCATGCATGCATACCCAAAATATGCTCCCTCTTTCTTAAACTTCCCTAAAATATACCTCCTTCTGAAGAGTTAACATCATAGCATAACCTGTTTATGAATTCTTTCAGGACAACTTTAGCCACATTCAAATTTTTACTTTAATTTTCTGAACTCTCTTTTGGAAGCAATATAATAGAAGTTAAAAATATGCACATTTATATAGAAAAAAATAATCCTAAAATTCATATGGAACAGCTAAAGACAGAACAGCTATCCTGAGCAAAAAGAACAAAACTGGAGGAATCACATTATCTGACTTTAAATTACACTAAAGAGCTATAGTAACTAAAAAAAAATGAAACTGGCATAAAACCAGACACATAGACCAGTAGAACAGAATAGAAAACCTGGAAGCAAATCTTTACACTTATAGTGAACACATTTTCGACAAATGTACCAAGAACATATACTGGAAAAAAGACAGTCTCTTCAATAAATAGTGCTGAGGAAATTAGATCTATGTATGCAGAAGGATGAAACAAGATCTCTGTCTGTCAACGTACAAAAATATCAAATCAATGTGGATTAAAGTCTTAAATCTGAGACCTCAATTTATGAAACTACTATAAGAAAACATCAGAAAAACTCTTCAGGACATTGGTCCGGGCAAAGATATCTCAAGTAATACTCTACAAGCAGAGGCAAACAAAGCAAAAACGGACAAATGAAATCATATCAAGTTAAAAGCCTTCTCAACAACAAAGGAGACAATCAACAAAGTGAGGAGACAACTTTGAGCTTCTTATATATTCTGGCTGTATATATTCAGACAATCTGACAGGGATTAACAGCCAGAATATATAAGAAGCTCAAATAACTGTGTAGAAAAAAATCTAAAATCTGATTTTAAAAGGTCAAAATATTTGATTAGACATTTCTCAAAAAAAGACATACCCATGGCAGACAGGCTCTGAAAAGGTCCTCATCATCATTGATCATCAGAGAAATTCAAGTCAAAACTACAAGGAGATACTATGTCACTCTAGTTAAAATGGCTTTTATGTAGAAGACAGGCAATAACAAATGCTGGTGAGGATGTAGAGAAAAAAGAACCCTCATGCGCTGTTGGTGGGAATGTAAATTAGTATAACCACTATGGAGAACAGTTTAGAGGTTCTTCAATAAACTAAAAGTAGACCTACCATATGATCCAGCAGTCCTATTGCTGGGTATATACATACCCAAAGGGAAGAAAATCAGTATCAGAGAGATATCTGCACTCCCATGTTTATTGCAACACTGTTCACAATAGCCAAGCTTTGAAAGCAACCTAAGTGTCCATCAACAGACAAGTGGATAAAGAAATGTAGCATATATACACAATGGGGTACTATTCAGCCATAAGAAAAAATGAGATCCTGTCATTTTCAACAACATGGATGGAACTGGAGGTCATTATGTTAAATGAAATAAGCCAGGTACACAACGACAGACTTCACATGGTCTCACTTACTGTGGGATCTAAAACTCAAAACATTTGAACTTAGGGAGATACAGAGTAGAATGATGTTCTACAGGCTGGGAAGGGTAGTGGGGGTAGGACTTGGAGGATACACATTGTTAATGAGTAAAAATAAAATAACCAAAAAAATGAATAAGATCTAGTATTTGCTAGCACAACAGGGTGACTATAGTCAATAATTTAGTTCTACATTTCAAAATAACTAAGAGCATATAATTGGATTGTTTTTGACACAAATGAAAAATGCTTGAGGTGATGGATACCTGATTTTTCCTGAATGTGTTTATTATACATTGCATATCTATATCAATGTATCTCTTTTACCCCATAAATATATACACGTACTATGTACCCACAAAAATTGAAAACAAAACAGGAAATCTCATACTTTTAAAATAGATAAGTGTTTCACATTTAAGCTTCACTACTTACTGTAATCTTGAACAAATAATTTAAGTTCTGTAGGTATCATTTTTTTCATATCTACAATAAAATACTGTTGTACAGGTTAAACAATATGTAAATTCTTGGTATATAGAAATATTCAATAAGTGCCATTTATTTCTTAACATTACTGTTATCATGAGACTATTTTTTGCTAATCTTACTTTTATGGCACTATAGACATATCTTTTCAACAAGATTCTGTATGTTTTAAGGGCAGGGAATTTTTTAAAGTTTTTTATTCTTTTAGAACAGACTATAAAGCTGCTCACTCTCAATTATTGTTTCTATGACGCTTATCAGATATCTGTTTTAACTTGTTTTTAACTATATATAATTCTTCCTACTTAATTTTAAACAACTTGAACCTGATTCTGTGTTATATATATATTATTACGGTTTTATGTAATTCAACCAGTTTTCATAAATGAAGTAGGAATACCAGATGTTGTATTTGAGTTATCAAAAATTTTGAGTAAGTGGGATCTCAATTAGTAATAATTTTACTTTATTAGAAATGAATATAAAATTAGAATATTAGGGGTCGATATAATGGGAAAATAATTAGAAAGGAAGCAGAAAGGAAAATTTAAACTGAAAAAAAAAAGCTAAAAGTAGAAGGAAAAGAATGTGGATCAATAGCTTAGCACATAAAAACATTTATATTTTTTAAGCATCATGTACCTTGAGGCATAGAGAAAAGAAATGAAAACTTTTTAAAAGTTTGTGTTTACAAGCAAATTGAATCATGTGTTTATTCCTATATATCTGTGTCTACAGTGTAGATGGTTGTTAGAAAATCAAATAATGATCCAGTGTCTCTATGTTAATTTTAAAATGCAAAATTCATTGGCTTTTCTATTTTTAAATAGTTTAGTTTGATATCGATATGCCGAATTCTTTGCACATTTTCTACAGTGTGGACTTGTATAAAGTTGAGATTAATTTGAGAAAGATCTTTAGAAGGTACAGCTTTTTGGTTTGACTTTTTCTAATAAGGAGGAGTGCATTTTACAGTGGAAGTTGATTTCTGCTTATAGATTACCTTAATAAGGTCACTGACGTCAAGGACCGTGTTATACCTTCTTCATAATTTGTGAAGTAATATTCTATAATGTTCTGTCCTGTACCTTATTAAGAGCGATGTGTCCCATTCTTTCTAATAGCTTCCTTCTAACCCTTACAGTGAGGTTTATTGTAGAATTGATAGTGTTCTCTTTCAGATTTCAGTTAATAGAAAAATTGGTGGATTTAATTAAACCTTGGGTAACATCACAAGATTTCAGACACTATGCAATATAAATAATCTGTCAGATAGTGACCAAAGACAAATAATCAGATTAGTATTTGTGCAATATAAAAGGAAATTTGATAATCATCAGTTAAAGTTTTCAGCAATATAATGCTGTTAGTTTCAAAGCTAACATGAAACTGTAATGTTTCCTGAACTTTACAAATATAAAACCCAGACATCATCTTTTTCCCAATTTGTTGGCCCCAATGAATATACAGTGTTGGGCTAAATTTCTATACTTTAGAAAGATGAAAATATTGGGGAATCCTCAAATAAGCAATAAAAAGACTTACAACATGAGCTGATAGACTGTTTCTTAGATGGCTGGATGATGCCTTCCTAGACAGCCAGCTCTTAAAGGACCATATTAGACAGCTTTGTTACATTGATTTCTATTTGGCTATCTTCCTCCAAAATTTTATTTTTCTGCTGTTTCATATCTTGGATACATATATTGTACATTAATAATGAATTTCCAATATGAAAAAGACTAATTTCCACACTTTGTAATTACAGACTTTTGTAACACACTTTGTTTTTTGAGACAAGATCTGGCACTATCACCCAGGTTGGAGTGCTGTGGCACAGTCTCAGCTCACTGCAACCTCCACCTCCTGGGCTCAAGCCACCCTTCTACCTCAGCATCCTGAGTAGCTGAGACTACAGGCATGCACCACTGCATCTGGCTAATTTTTGTATCTTTTTGTAGAGACAGAGTTTGGCCATGTTGCCCAGGCTGGTCTCGAACTCATGAGCTCAAGACATTCACTTACCTCTGCAACCCAAAGTGCTGGGATTACAGGTGTGAGCCACTGCACCTAGCCTTAACACACTTTTAAAAGGCATACTATACAGATATGCAAGACAATATCTTGTTTAATTTATTAAATTCAATACTATAGTGTACATAATATGAATTTGGAGAGACTTATCAGAAAGACCAAAATGACTGTTTAGTTTGATCAGTTTATCAGTAATGCATTTAACATCTAACATTAGAATTAAAAGACCTCTCAACAATTATTTAATGCTTGTGTTTCTAAGTATTAATAGTTTCCTGTTATGATTTCTATGAAATTGCATTTGAAATCTTGAATTGCTTTTTAATTTTGAACTTCTTTAAAGCCACCATAAATGTTCTATAATATTATGATGAAAAAAGAATCAGTAGACAAGGTGTTTTAAATCATTTGTCCAATTTTTATATTGATCGTATATGTTATATAAGAAAAAAAGTTTCAGTTAGTCTTTCAGCACATAAGTGTACTGACACTGTGTCAAACCAAGTACTGCTTACAGAATTGAGATCCTTACAATAAATATTTCTTTCCCAAAGAATTTCATAATATATTTGGTAAATA